CTGTATAATTTTCACTATGGCGCGCGAGTGACTGGTTCCGAGAGTAGGCATTTTGACGTATGGCATGTAGTAAAAATGCGATTGCGAAACTCGTAAATTTTAAGATTTTGATCGCAATTTACAAAAAAACTGCAGGGTGAACCCGCAAGAACTTTTTAGATTTGGATTCAGCGTCACTTAATCTATAAGAATATGTAATTTTCTTTTAGTTTAAAGAGGTGTGCAACGAAAATCGTTTTCTAGCCATCTTTTGGGGCACTAGACGACGGCCTATTTATAAGAAGAAACCGGAAACCCACATATTTTTTTTTGGCCCTATTTAACCCATTAAGTTGCATGTGCCCTAATGCATCCTACTTTATCATTATACTCTGTCTAACGCCGCATGATTTTACTTGTCAAGGGGAGATGGCACTCAATGGGATAACCCACCTTCTCATTGCTGTAGAGTTGTTAGGCAGTCCTTTGGTTGTATGAGAAGTGAAGTTGAGATAATGTACCCACAGATCCACACTCAGAGCAATAGCTTCAACACCTTTCTCAAATACCTACAAAATAAGAAAAATATTAGCAGTGGATAAAATAGTCCTAACCAGGATCAGTTGCGAAAGATGCAACACCTGTGGCTCTGTGATTCCAGTGCAGCGCTCTAACCAACTGAGCTATAGAGGCCAGTTGTTGAGCTCTAACTGCAAGTTCATATATATATATATATATATATATAGGTTATCATATAAGGGATGAGGTGATATCAGTTTTATCGCTCGAGGGATGATATCACAATTGTCACGAGCGAGCGAGGGACAATTGTGATATCGTCCCAAGAGCGATAAAACTGATATCACCGAATCCAGAGTACGATAACCTATTTATTATATACTTGTACCTTTATCAGGGTTTGACACCCAAAAGTAAACATTTTAGAATTCAAAACAATTCATCATTTACTGAACAAATATGATTTTAGAAAATAAATAGACCATTCATATAAATAATATACAATTTAAGTCTTTCGTTTTGTATTATCGTTCTTGTTTTCTTTGATAAACTGTCGACATCAACCAACACAAACCTCGAGTCGGCCATCTTTGTTTTGACAAGGCGCGATATTTAGCGGGACAAAAAACGATATCCGGGACGATATCATTTTTATGTCCCGCTGCTTCCTACCTGATAAAGGTGCAAGTATGTGATAAATATATATATATATATATATATATATATATATATATATATATATATATATATATATGAAGGTGATGCCAGTACTGTAATATGCCAAAAATCCTGATATAGTCTCCAAAAAAAAGCTAGGTTTAAATCTAGGAGAAAGTTCAATTTGCAAATTTCCTTGATGAAAATTTTAAGAAAATTTCAGTTTTGAAAAGTGGAAACATTGCTTGCAAGAAAAACCAGCAAATTTATACCGTGAAATGGGACCTGGACTGGTAATTCAAACCAGATCAGATTAACTAGTGATAATCCAGTATGGATGAAGAACAGAGTTATTTAGATACCTCACGTGCACGATCCAAATCATCATTTTTCTTTTCCATATCAGCAAATTTCTTCCAATAGCCATAACAAAATGGATAGTGACTCAAAAACGCTTCAAACGCCTTTCTTGCTGACTCTATTTTATTCTATAAAAATAACACAAAACTCACAACCACGTCACATTGAAAACACTACAGTATGTAATTCACTGTGAATGTGACAAATTTGGAATAAATTTCCAACCCAATTTTACTTGCACTTCAGCTGACAAGCCTTTTTCATTGTGGAATCCTAACAAAGCACATACATTAGATTATGGTATTAAATATGGGGGTCACTTGTATGTCTTGAACACAACCATAAAATAAGCAACTTGTGGATTGAAATCCTTTGAGATTTATAGATTACTCAGAAAATCACCTGCGATAAAATATGCTGCACACAAGATTTAGAGTTTGAAAATTTCCTTAACCCTTCTGATGTGCACTACTTTATTAAACTTTACTCTGTCTAAAGCCAGATGATTTTACAACTGACCAATCAGGTACGATTTTGCCAAAAGCTATATTGTGCTGAAAGGATCACAAGTTAACTAATACTGCATATTTCATTGAAAACATTATGCCTAATATCACAGAATTTAGGAACCCTACAGAAGATCGACTTCTTGGTTTGTAATGCTGACACCATGATCCTAGACAGAAGCCCTACTTCTTGATTTTTCCTATGAATTTGGCGTAACTGTAATTCGTCATCAAAATGCTGACGTCATGGTCCTAGCCAGTGTGCATATGAGAGGCATACACCCCCCTGATAATATTAAAAATGGTGGATGTCCAGGGGGGATTCCTTTCATATCGACCTTCTGTGTATCTTTATGCCGTGCCTAGATAGTGCGCTTATGAGAGACATTCACCCCCCTGAAAATATCCAATATGGCAGACACTCTCAGAACCGCACTGTGGCCAGTGCATATTTTTGATGACGAATCATTGTGGCGGTGGTCACATTGTTTGGCCGAGTCGACTGTCTGTATGGTTTCACGGTGGCCTGGGCATTGATAATCAAACATTCACAAGTGTGTCATGGGGGGG